GAGCAAGGCCCCCACTGCAGCAGCGACCAGCACCCTGGACTCGGGTGAACAGGGCGTTCATGCCAATTGGTTGAGGTGTCTAAGTCCAGGCTAGTCACCTGGATTTTAATGTGGACCTCAGGCTCAGTCTTCTGCAATATTGGACATTCATTAATGTCTTTGTCTGGAGGAGCTCTTGTCTCAAATATTTCTCTGACCTAGATGGTTGGCAGAAGTCAACATTGGCCTTCCGAGTCATGGCACACCAGGCCGATCTCTTTGACTTTCTCCATATCTGAAGCCAATTAGCTTTTGTTACATGGGTGACTAATCACCTCCTAGCCTCCCACTGTGTATGTAAGAAGGATGTAAGATTTGGTGGGTGCAGTCCAGAACTCTTGGTAGGCCTCCTCGATAACAGTGACCTGTGCTTAGCACACCCTGGAATCACCTGATGAGCGAGAACAGGATAGATGTAGTCAAAGTCTCGTTCTGAGTGGCACTTTCAGGCAGGTTTCACTCTGTTATACTTTCTGTCAGGGCCTGAGTGTCCATGTGGGCACTGAGGTCCCCAGCCACCCTTCTCAGGGACCTCCACCCTCTGCCCATGGACCCAGGATCTCCGTTTAAGCTTAGACTTCAGGCTTCGGTTCTTTCCCGATCTATGTTGTATGTGTGCCTGTATCCAGCCCTGTCTCTGATGCTTCCTCCTGGATGGACTTTGTACCTATATTGTAGGTAGCTTGTCTTCTGGATGGACCCCTCGTATGCAAATTGTAGCTTGTCTCCAGCTGTGTCTGTGGTCGTGTATCTTGGATAGACTCTGAACCATAAGCCAGTGTCCCAGCAGTGTGCCCTTGTGGCAAAGAAAGCTAATGGTTGCCAGCAGGTTGCGGGAGGTTCTCCTTCCCCTCTGCTCAGCTCTGGTGAGGCCACCTCTGGAGTCCTGTGTCCAGTTCCGGGCTCTCCAGTACAAGAGACACATGGCCATACTAGAGAGAATCCAACAAAGGGCCACAAAGATGATGAAGGGACGGGAGAATGTCTCATACGAGGAGAGGCTGAGACAGCTGGGACTGTTCAGCCTGGAGGAGAGAAGGCTTGCAGGGATCTTATCCATGTGCACAAACACTTGAAGCTTGAAGAGGGGATGCAAAGAGTACAGACACAGGCTCTTTTTGGTGGTGCCCAGTGACAGGCCCAGAGGGAAGGAACACAAACCAATGCTTGATGCAGTAGAACAGCCTGTTTATCCTCTAGCGATATGAATTCACCAGCATCACCCCAATCACATATCAGGATGGGTCCAGACAAAGATATAGGAGGACATTCTGAAGAGCCTTGTGAGTGTTAAACAAGAGTATGCAATAGATGGAATTCTGTTCACACATGTACTGACAGTATTTCCTTCTGTGCAGGAGTTAAAAAATATATTTGTTATTTTTATTTTATTCCCACTCCCAAATACACAAATTCTCTGCTGTCCAGATAAATGTATTTGTATTTTTTTTGTTTGTATTTATTTGTATTTACCCATATTTTAACTTCTGTACTATGAGTGAAAGAGCAACTCAGTATTCATGGCCTATTTAGTACTTGGCTTCTGTGACGAGAAAGGCAGCAGTGAGACCCTTCTGTAACAGCAGTGGGGGATTACATTTCATAATAAATTAATGGGGGAGCTTGTCTGGTGTGTAGATGCTTCCACATTTCCCAGCTGCCAACATGCATAGTATCACAGGCAATAAAAAAAAAAAGACTGAAGACTTCTAAATTTTTCCTTCCTCCGCTCCCAGTGAATTTATGCCTGTAAAATCAAAGGATCACCCCTTCTGCCTTCCACCTCCATTTTTCTCTTCTTCATCATCTTCACAGATTCTGGTGTGGCACAAAAGCTGTTCACTATGTCGGGATGAAACATAGGAAGCCTATTTTTCCTAGTGCTGACACAATGAACCACTGTCCATCTAAATAGTGCTGTGCAGTAGGCATGGGTTTGTTGGTGTCCCGAATACTCTAAGATGGTTAGCAACTGGCCCTGAACTCCCCGGTCCTCCAGTCGCCTCACATGCCCACACCCACACTGGGATCCACACTTCAGACTGGATCTCCCAGAAACCAGCCTTAGACACGCAGTCTGCTCGCTGGCTGGCCCTGGATGCTCGCTCTCTCAGTCGCTGGTACTGGGCTGTGCAAGCCTCTGCAGCCTGCAGCCCCACTCCGTTTGTTCCTACACAGTGTAAGTATTGGATGAGCTTTCTACAGTTCTCACAACATATAAGCTCTTCCCGTAAGGATTTTCAGTGAATGTTCTTTAATGCAAGTTCCTTATGATGGTACTCATCACTGGAAGTTATGTTGTAGGATGTTATTGCTACAAAAGACCAAAATAAAAAACAACAACTCATGCTTCTTGAACAGGAAAGAAGCTAAAACTTTATTCCTAATTCAAGGAGCTGGGTCCTTAGCCTCTGAGCATTGAGAAGGTGTAGTTCTGAAGATATGATACTATATGATACAATATAATAAAATACAAGGTGATATAGAAGTACAGGGAAAACCCAGCCGTGATTACATCAACATGGAAAGAACAGGATGGGGACAGAGAACCACCAAGAGATAATATTCAGAAGTTCTTAGACAAAAGCACAGATCCTTTGCTATGGAAATGTAGAAAGTATAATTTGCTGT